AAAAACACAGGTTTTTTCGTTACTATGCTTTAATTCCCATCTATTTCACGTATTTATAAGTGGCTATTAACAGTTTTTAGGTTAGACAACTTTTTTTTCTTAATTGAGACTTTTATTATATAAATGCAAATTTATTAATCATTCTATTTAACTCTTTTCTTCAGTCTGTCATTGAATATTTTGTTTTAAACAAAAAAATTATTCGCACACCATGTATACTTTCATATCAAGTATGGTCAATTAAGAGAAATGCTACATTGTCAACCTAGTGTACAATTAAGTTAGACAACACAAGTAAAAATATTCATAAAAATAAAAATAAAAAAATATAGATGTTTTCCACTTGTGTTGTTAACATAGTTGTACACTAAATTAATCATGGACCTGTGAGATTAGTTCAAATGAATGCCGTGAATGTAGTCTCTGTCCAAAAATAATATAAAAACTCCATAACATATGAGATTTTTTTCTAATTTTTGTAAATAACATTTTGTTAGATTTAGATTAACGAAAAATGAATTTTCCTGTCAAGTGGTTGAAATTCGTTCACATGCTTTAAAATTCCATTCTATTTTAAGTAAATGTTTCACTTTGTTATATATTAATCATATACTAGTACAATACTGTGTATTACATGGGTATAAAGCTTTTGTAAAAAATATTCAATTTTTTATTTTTTAAAAACTAAAATAATTTAATTTTATATAAAACATTATTTTGGTTTTAATTGAATTGTCAAATTATATTTTTTTAATCATAATAATTAAACACTCGTACATTAAATGAAAATGTCAATCCGTGTTGAATTTTTTTACTTATATCATAAAAAAATATCGATATTATTAATATTACATAATTACAATATATATCTTAAATAAATATAAATAATATGGTGATATGTATATGCATAAGTGTAGAATATGTTTATTTAATATTAAGCAAAATAGATTAATTTTTTTACTAAATAAGATGTCTAATACAACAAGTGCCATATCAGTCGTGCTTCATAATTTTTTAACTTTATATAAATAATTATTTATTTTTATTTCATTGACAACATACCAATTAGATTTGAAATAAATATCATTTTTAAAATAATACATACCAATTTTTATTACTTTATAATATAATTTATAGTTTTATTTGATATAATTTAATTTAGTTTGATAAATAAACTTAAATTTTATTTATAAGGATATATATTACTGTTTTGTATTATATATATATATATATATAAATAGTAAAATACAAACGGACTTCATAATATCAATTCAAATGCAACGCACTAATTAGAATTTTTTTTTCTTGACAATATTAACCCTATTTAATAGATGTTATGGGAAACGATGGAGATGAGATATGAAGAGACACTATGTATTAAATGGAGAGTTAAAAATAGAAAAATATGAACAAAATATCTAAAACGACATTTATTTTATCAATGATCAATTAAGCCAATGTGACAAATAATAAAAATAGGAGGGAGTATATATTATATATTTTAGTATGATACATGTTACTCGTGCGACTTATATGTGTTATATTATAATATATTTTATACCTTATAACATATAAAAACATTAAACATAAATATATTAATTGATAAATAATTTTATTTTTTAATTAATTTTAATAAATAATTTTATTATTATTATAAAAATAAATATAGTTTATTTATTTTATATATAAAATATGGATGTCAAATCGAAGCTCATCAAAAGATGATTAATTTGATATATTATATACGTAAAACCGATAAGAAATACAAAAGTTATCAACTTTTAAAATATATTTGCAATTCATTGGTTATAATAGGAAATGATATTAAAATACAATTAATACAAATATTAATTTATATCCAAGCCTAACTCCAAAGCATGATTTTTTGTCAAATAAGATTACGAAGTTTGTCACGTAGGCTCAGCGCATTCTGAAATTATATATAGAGGGGATAGATTTCTTTGCTATGAAATAATAAAATAATATATGTGAATGACTATTTTACCGTTGATGTATTTGATTACAAGTTGTGTCATCAGATGTTTCCTATAAATAGGAGCTTCATTTATAATGAAAATCGTACAAAGAAAATACATTCTCTTTATTCTCTCCCTTTCTATCTAATTTTATAACACGTTATCAGCCCGAGTCTCTGCCCTTTAGAGCTCGATTTGTAATTGAGAAGAGTATGCTCTACAGTTGCGTCTTATAAATGATCATCTGTATCAGAAATTCGATTATTACTTATTGTTTTTCTCTTGAATAAAGTCCATATGCTAGAATTTTGGAAGGCCTATATGCCTGTTCTCGAATCGGCAGCACATATATATCTATCCATTTTATTCCTCCAGATCTATGTTTATTTGTGACCGGCAAACTTTAGGAAGGTGTATTCAATTTCAACTTTTAGAGACTTTTTAAGACTTTCAGAATTCTGGTGTATTTAATCAGAACTTTTAGAGACTTCTGAAAAGTTTACATGTATTCAATTGAGACTTTTAAAGACTTTTAAAAAGTCCTTAAAAGTCTCAGGGTATTTAATTAAAACTTTCTGAGAGTATCTATAAGTTACCCTATATTCAAAACATGAAGACTTTGCGAGACTTTTTAAATTGTGAGACTTTTAGAGACTTTTCTAACAAAATTGCAAAGACAAAGTCCCAACAGAAATCTCATCAATATTAGTGAGATTTTGCTGGACTTATGTGACTCTCTTCACGCTCCCTTTCTTTTTTCTTTCTAACACGACTTTGTATCTCATACCACTTTCATGCTTTATAATTTTACTCATTTATTTTGATACCTTGTATAATTTTTATTTTCAATACATATATTCAATGTGATCTTTATTTTATATATTTTTTATTATGATTATTTAATGTATGTATACCTTTATTCTTTCATTTTGTTATCTTGTGAATTTAATTTTTCAAAGGTTAAATGCTTCCATAGTTTGCACTTGCAAATAATTTATTTGTTCTCTATTTTTATCTGTCAATGTTTATTTTCTAATATTAATAAAATTATTTTATTTTCTAATAGTTTATTTGTTGATATTGAATTATTTTGAATATTATTGAGAACTTTATAAAATACAATTACTATTTTTCGACAATGTTTGTATCTTCCACAGTTCGACTCGTTGAAGCTCGGATTGATTTGCTCGTTTAATAAATCTAAATCCTAAACACTTTGTTAGTGAATAACTCATTTCGCATAACAATGAGTTTATTCATAAATTTTTAGAGGATTAATATATAAAATATTTTTTTTTCATTTATTCTTCTTGATATTAGTTGTTATGTTACGTTTATTAATGTTTCATTCAAACATAATATTATAACTACAAGTATATAAAAGTCTCAATAAGTTTTAATGAAAATCTCAAAAAGTCATTAATGAGAATTATCTGAAAGTCTCGACAAGTGTATCAAAGTCATGAAAGTTTTACGAAGTCCACAAAAGTCACCAAATTTAAAAAGTTTTAAAAATTCTTTAAGAATCTCAATTGAATACAACCATTAGTGTAATATTATACAAGAATTTCCTGGTTGTTTTACATGATTTTCTTGAAGAACCGATTCAAAAGTTTAATAAAAATGTGAACCTATAGAATTCTCCCAGGAATACTAGTATCCGATGTAGTATACAAGGCCCTTTTAACAGTTAAGGCAACAAAAAGTCAAAAACATCAATATAGAATGGAGAATTGATCGAAAATAAAAGAATATAAACAACAAGATATGGCAAGCGTGCGCAGGACCTTTCGTAAACTAGCGGCGGCTGGGATCCACATCGTCAATTTCCCTCAAGGCCACAGTGAACAGGATCATCTTCTACTTCATCTTTGTTTTCTCACCCAAGTTAAAATCTTTTGATTTTCCTATTGTTACTAACAGAAGATGAAGATTTGCACTCTGTATAATATACTGGTATGCATCTTGAATGTTAATGGAGTTGTGTTACGGTTGCATAATTTGATCACATGGGAGGATTCCGTAATTCGTCATTTTTTTGTGTTCGATAAATGCTAAGTTGATTTTGTTTGGTTATGTCTATATGTCCTTGTTATCGTGAGCTGGCATTTGGAATAATTAAGTATTATGTATGGGGAGTAGTTTGCTGACAAGAGTTTATGATAACCAAAGGTTATAGAATAAAAGGAGTGGTCATAAATGATATCATTTCATTAAAATAAATATGGGGAGTGAGTTGCTCAATTTTTCTATGGAACCATTGGATGACACGACTTATGGAGTCATCCACACTTATTCATAAATAGTGTATTGACATGTGTCCTAATAAATACACTTTGGACATGTGTTAATATATTAAGTGATGGATGGCTCCATAAGAAAATTATCCGATGGCTCCATAGAATTTTTGGTGAGTTGCTTCACTCACATATCACATCCTGATCACTTACTGAAATGGCAGGGACAAAGTGACATTAAACATTTATTAGTGCCATTGTTTTCATTAAAAGATTTATTCATCATATATAAAAAATGGGTATTATCAAAATTATTTGCTATTAATTTAGTTATGTCTAGAATAATGAAAGCTTCATTTTGAGACCAATATTGATATAATTATATTAATTTATATTGTCATTATGAAATGTTTGAATTTTGTTATTATAAAAATTATTTGATACATGAACATGCGAATATTTATGGATTGACCCTTGTGATATGACAATAAGTATGTGTGGCTACGAGGACCGGCCCGTGCGGCTCTGCCGCCGGTAGGTAATAATTAACAGTAGCCGACGGGTCAATTGTTGATCAAAATATTATGAACGGTTATGTAATATGGCCGAGTGCAACCACCGGCAACAGACAATACGATTAAAGGCTTGAACGGCTAAATAGACCGGTCAGTGTATTAATAGCCGGCGATATGAAATGGCCAGGTGATAAGGCCATATGCAACAAATGATATGAATGGCTACATATACATGCGTCGGCCAGTGC